TTTGGAGGCTCATTTGTACCATCAACCATCAACCGTGTCCTGTTTTGTTTTTTTGAGTATTTTAAGTTTCGTTTTTACTATTTTCTGGTTTCCAGCAAATTTCCTAGTTAACCTTTATACATCCTGTTTGCATACAGCATGCACTGCTAATGCACACCTCAGACTACTTTCGCTTCAGTGAAATAATTTGGAAATAATGCTTGTGCCATTACCTAATGTGTAATATTTTATGGTTTCATATTTACAGTAACTAGTACCATATCATCTGCTCATATACCTCTAAATTGTGAAATCCTTGAAGATTTATACTACATGTTTTAACAACGTGGTTGGGAACTAGTCAGGTTGGTTACACTGGAACATACCTGTCCTCCTTGTCACATTGATCGACAATATTATATTACATGTGTGTGTTGTGAAAAAATATAGGGTTTTGCTGGTTATAAAGGTGTAAAGCTGGGAAAGCAAACTGAAGTAAAGTTGTGCAAAGACAAAGAGAAACAGAAAAGTAATTCCTCAGAGAAGTATAAGTGGGTAGAGTAGCATGCAAAGTGGCCAGACTGACCTCTAGTGAACCAAGTCTGCAAAAACAGGTTGTGTCTACGGAGTTTTAACTAGGTAATGTCTCTCAATTGTCAATCATTCAAGAAATATTCATTATGTTGATTTTGTATGAAGAAATGTAATCAAAGAAAGACACAAGACGATTTAATTGCCTGTAGAATACAGTGCCGATGTCTTTATTGATTTAGAGAGAAAGACAAGTGATAATTAAATCAGTGGCAAAACACATCATTGTCTGGGTCCAGTCGCACAAAAGACACAGCATCTTTTCAGAGCTTTATTTTATGCAGACTTAATCCTGAAATATTCAAGCTGTGATCAAGCAGAATCACAAGAGGGAAGGAAATTGAGGCAGCAAGGAAAGAAGTGTTTTTGGAGGCAGCTGTTACAGGTTTCTCTCGAGCCAAAGCAAGGGTGCAAAGGTTGTAGAAGGGTTAAGACACAGCCATCGGTTGTATCAGACAGTTGGCAGAGGCAGGCGGTTAGCTGGGTAGCTACACGGCAACGTATATTTTACCTTTTTCTCTTTGAGGGGCAATAATGCCCCCGGTCTTAGTTCTCTGATTTGCGGTTCAATTCGAGTGGTGGGTTCTACCAAATTTTTCACCCCTACATCCTTAACTGTGCACTTCTGGAAAACCTGAAGAGTGGAGAAAGGTGAAGGGGAAATGGGGACATGGATTTTGAGGAGGGAAAAGGTTTGAGTATCTTCACCTTTGCCACAGCTGTAAAACCCCACACGTGACAAAGATTCAAAATCAAGCCAGTTTGGCAGCGGTCAGTGCTCATCCTTTGCCACTTCTGAGACAGTCAACCACCATGGGAAAAATTGATAGGCAACCCACACCCGAAATGCAGAAATCAGAAAAAATCCAGCAGACCTATTCATTGTTTTTGTTCTTGTTCATGTTTTTGGGAATGTGTACATGTGTGTGTGTGAGTGCTTGAGTTGCATATGCATCTAACCTGGAGCTCTGCCATGATCTTGTCCCCTTCATCCTCCTCTTCTCCAGTAACAGAAGCAGTGACAGGGGGAGGGGTGGCTGGCTTCGGCTTGGTCTCTGGTGGTACCTTGGTGGGCTTGGCTTGGGGGGAGGGAGGTGGAGTGTCCTCTTCACCCTCCTGTAGGAATTTATGAGATGGAAATTATTTTAGCATTATTTTTCCAAGCCACACAGCAAGACAACAAGATTATTAAAAGGTAATTGTGCTCCAGAGAGTCAGATTCAACAAAGACTTAGATTAGAAGATCGATACAACTCTCGTGTCTGTTTGCTAAGTATGGAGCAAGAGCTGGGAAGCAATTAGTGTTGGCTTAATTTAGCATGAAGACAAAGTAAAACAAATATGCATATTATTACCTACCTCTAAAGCTCACTCTAAAACTACAACTTGTCTTATTTATATCTGCCAGTGTAATAATTGGTGAGCTTTTGAGTTGTATTTTCTTTTTCTTTTTCTTTTTCAAGTCTCAGTAACAAGATGCAGTTGCTGTTTGAACACATTTCACGAGGCAACCTCCTGTCAGACTGACCTGAGCTGAGACGGACTCCTTCCTGCTGGTGTAGACCACCTCGCCAGAGCGCGTGGTTGTCATGCCTGAGCTCGAGCTGGGGTAGGTCTTCCTAGGAGGAGGTGGTGGTGGGGACTTGCTAGATTTTTCAGACCCCTGCTTGGTAAAACTGTCAGTGGGTGCTGGTTTGGTGGCAGTCTTGGTGGGTGCAGGTTTGGCTGGTTTCTCTATCACAGGCTTTGGGAGTTTCTCAGGCCCCTTCTTGCCTAGTTTGTCAGAGTGAGGCTCAGACTGGGGCTCTTCTGTCATATAAAATTACAGAAATTAAGTTATATTGAGGACACACTTTTAAATGTGTTCATATAGCAATAAAACGTAAAATGTGTTGTATATCACATTTCTGTTAGACCTGTACCTGTCGGTGACTCCAAAGGGTTGTGGATCTCTGCTTGTTCTCCTGTGGCAGCAGGGGGCAGCCCTTGGTTCTCTTCAATGTCTAGACTGGGAATTCCCTTCATCATGTTGGCCTGGGCCTCTTGGAGGATCTTTTCAAACTCTTTCCCATCATAATGACCCATGTTCTGCCTCCTCTCTTCCCATTCCTTCTCTGCTGCCTACAGGGCGAAAAGAAGAAAGAGAGAAAGAGAAAGTTCTTGATAAGTAAATAACTACAGGAGTCTTAAATGGCAAAATAATGCCAGAATAACTAAGTTGACATTTACAGGATTCTAAATAGAGTAATGGAATATCACCAGAACTTTACTATGCTGGATAAATATAAATCAAAACCAAATGACAACAGGAAGGTGAGTAAACATACCTCTATGGACATAGCTCTGCTTTTGCTCTTGCCCTGACTGTTCTGGAGCTCCTCTATGACAAGAACCTGATTGGCAGTGCCATTTCCATTGTTCACCGGGTTCCCGTGTGTCCTCTTATGGCGAGCGGGACTCGGTGGATCTGAGGCCGCCCCCTTGGGGGATTCCCGGCCTTGACTCTTGATCGGGTTGGGACTGGGGACGTGAGAGGGGCTGGGTGTGAGCGGTGGACTGGGCTGAGCTGTCAAGGCTGCGGACTGCTGGGACTGCTGAATGTGGACCGGGGCGCTCTGGACATGATGGATGACCACCGGAGAGGAAGGCATTACCTCTGATCTGATGGTGGAGCTCTGGGGCTCCAGTGGGGCTGATGTGGAGCCAGGCTGAACTGATGCTGGGGGAGCCTCTGCAGGGGCTTCTGCTGCTGCTGTAGGGCGGTTTTCCACTGGGACATTAGCAGAGGGATCAGGTCCTTTCTGAAGGCCCTCAGTAGCACATCTGCAGAAAGGAAGGTGGGAAATGGTATGTGATACAAACCATGTGGAAAACATTGGTAAAAGTTATACTCTTACAACACTAGGCAAAAAAAGAATTTAGTATTTTTGGTCTTTTTTGATTTCTCGTCCAGATTGAAAACCAATCAAACCCCTATAATTTAGTGGACAAATAATGTTGATTAATTATGACATTATGATGCAAGTTCTTATGGTTTGGTACCGGGGCATGTTTCGGGTAAAAGACAAGAGAGTCATGGAAGGATAGCGATAGAAAACTCTGAAAAAGAGTGAATTTGGTATCTGTGACATATTAAAATGGAAATGAGGTTCCGCAATGTCCTCCAAATTAATTCACTTATCGGTTCAGTGAAGGCGATGGACGCCACACTCCTCCGTCCACACGGAATGACCTCTTTGATGGGATGAAGGCTGGCTTGCCAGTATAATCAAATAGTACAATCTTCCACATCATAGACCCCTGCGAAAAGCCCTGCAGAGTGCTTTTTGTTTTAATCTTCAATTCCCTCTCTCTCTCTCTCAGCCCCCATACACCAGAACCTCTTCTCCTGATGCCTACTTTATCTCCACTAGCTGATTTTTTTTCTCCGTCTTTCCTCTACCTTCTCAGACTGCTGAGTGTGTCAGTCAGGCTCTTGACCCTTTTCAGCATGCTGTCCAGTTTATGAGGCTCCTCCTTTAAAAACTTGACAGCTTCCACTTCCACCCTGAGCACTGCCCGCATTCTGGTTTGTAGGGCTGGGAACTCTCCTGAGGAAGCACACAGAGAAACAGTTATTGTTTTGGAAGTCAGAAGTTTTATTTTATAGCTGACTACATTTCTATTTCAGATAGCCTCACAATGACATTTAGACTGCCTTGACACAAGAACCCTTGAGTGAAACAGATATGAATAGATTACCAGCTCATTAAGGTACTGTGACCCACTATAACTGTTCAATTGGATATACATTACTCTTTTAACTCTGAAAAGATGTATTCAGAAATACCATTATTGGACAATTAAATGATTACATAGTTAGTACAGTTTGGTCATTTGTATATAACACTGGAAAGGGAGGGACCACAACAGTCACTATGATTAAACTTAATTAAAAACAGTGTGGAACAGGGGGTTGCACACAATATTTTCCCAGCAGAGAGAATATTATCTGTTGTCTTACCTTTGAGCCCTGCCAGAGATTCTCCCACCTTCCTCAAAGTCACCGCTCCCTCCTCCACATCCTTCAGGGTCACTACTCTGTGTGAGTCTTTTTGCAGAGAGACTACATACTGCTCCAGCTCACTGCAGAGACAACAAAATGCACAACAGAAAGGACAAAGAATTTAGAGTTGAGAGAGAGAATCCAGGTTTCCTACAATTGTTTAGTAAATAGGAACTAGAACTAACTTTGACAAAGGCATAAACGAAAAATGAATGGAAAATCAGGATATAATGTATGGAAATATGTTCTTCCACTTCAGGGACTTTCTGTTACATTGATTTATCTACTTGGGCACAATTTGATTAAGAGATAGACAAAAGAACATTCACACTACTATTAACATTTTATTTACCCTTTACAAACACAAGGGGGCACAACACAATCATTTATCTTAAAGATCATACAGGGGTACTGCCTAGGCTAAGGTGGGATCAGACTTTGGGACATGATTCATTAAAAAAAGGGGGGAAATTTGATCACGTAAAATGCATATAGATTAACACTGCAGTCCTGTCTACATTGCTTAGTCTAGATTAGATTGTATCTCATCCCAAAACCACAAATGTTTGTATGGGCTTGTATATGAGAGAGCACTTCCTCACATAGAAAACATATCACTACGTTTCACCGCCATCCCAGTGCTCAGGAAAAATGGTTACTCCGCAGGGAAATGTGCCGAATGATAACATTGTGTGCAGTGTTGGATTGCATGAGAGGGACTAAAATGGTGTTTCATTGTGGCCAGGTACCCTTGAGAAACATTCTTTTTATAAAACTCCCCTAAAGGGAGTGGGAAAGGCAATATCAGGAGACAGTGTGTTAAATTCCCCGCTATGCCAAGGCCTGTTGGTAAAAGGAATGATGATGGGAAGTTCCATCTGAGGACAAAAGGAAACAGACTTTCCTTTTTTATCAACCCTTCCACAGACAAAAAAAGATACAGTACATTTCCATAATGCACATCTCTGTGTTTCAGAATATAAGAGGCAGCCTTCACGGATACCCTAATGAAGTACTTAAGATAGAATTTGCTTGAGAAATCATCATGCGCTAAATTCCACTTACCAACTGAAACTTACTGTATAAGATGCAAAGCATGTGACTTAACATGAGAATAGCCTGAAATACTGTATCTGTTGAGATGAAAACTGACTTTGTGGCACACTATTTGGATAGATTCTCTCTATTTTTGTTCTGTGGAACCACCATCAACTCCTGAGACTAATTTGTTTCCTTGCCCTTTCAAGTATTTCTGTCCTTGCATTATTAGCAAAAAGTACAGTAAAGTACTGAGCCCTTTTCTTGTTGCCAAATAGTTAGAAAAATGTTACAAAATGTGCTGTTATAGGTCATGAAAGATTTAGGTCTCCTCTTGAGAAGGCAGTGGTTTTCACACCACATTCTCCCACTTGTCTTAAAGCCAAGCAGCTCTAATTATCAAGCCTTATTTAAAGTGCCAGCAGCCGTGTTTTGCTGACTCACAACTGGCTGAATACCAAGGGTAACAGCGAGCTTAATCCACTGACTTCCGCCTGCTCATTTCCCTGTCTCCATGAGCTACCATCATTGTGTTTATTAAGACAACGCTGTTTGACCTTGCCTGTAAACATCCAAATAAAAGGATTCAATTACTGCTCCCTGTTGGCAAGATGAAGCAAGTGAATTAAAATAAGAACAGGGTAGTGAGAAGTTACTCCACAGTTGGGCCCATTGTTCTAGTGTGCTGTCTCTGAGAGCCAGGCGCTGCTTGCCTGTATAAACCTGTGGGCTGTAATTTGAAGGGCGTTGGCTTGTCAAAGAGTTTAGGAGTGAATAGCATAGGTGAGCTGATAAAAAATAAAGCCTTTTGGGAATTTCCTATAAATGGAAGCACCTTGACTGGATCCGTGTAGGTGTGTACTGAATCACCTCTTATACTTGTGCATGACTCTCATGAAACAATAAACATCGCGTAATGAATGCAAACAACCAAATCCATTTTCACTATACAAAATATGAAAAATGTTATGGAATTAAACCACTGACTTTGGAGCAGCCTTACCCAAGTTGTGTGAGGACACACTCCTCCAGACCCAAGTACTTGTGCCTGTCCTCCTCTACCATAGTCCTCTGCCTCTGGACAGGGTCCTCCAAACCCCGCATGGCCTCTGCAAGTTTTACACTGATTTCCTGCTCTGCCCGCTTCAGCTGGACTCGTAATGCTTCCTGGTTTTGGAGCTGAGGGGACGCACGCAATAGGAATGAGATATTAGAGGACCCGAACCGGCAGGCCAACATACAAAGCTGTAGTAAATACAAACACACTCTAAATAGAAGGGGAAAGAGGTCTTGCCTGCAGCTGTCTCATCTGATGGAGTTGCATCCTGAGGTCAGAAACATTCTTCCTGAACTGCAGGAGGTTGACTTTGAGAGGAACTGAGCCCTTGTCTGATGGGACTGCATTGCTCTTGGGAGCCAAGACTGGGGAACCACCTGTATCGGGGGGAAAATGCACATGCTGAAACCTAAAGAACACTTGATACTGTATGATTACTCTTGTCAATACATTCCAATAGAAATTAAATCAGGCACATAAAAGTAAAAAAATATAGTTCTTTGAGGGAGTAGAGTTGTTCTTTTCCAAACCCACCCAATGTCATTTACTAGACAAATTATTGGTTAGATTCTACATTCACTGGCAACACACTGGTCTGACTTAATGTTCCTAATATTTAGTAATGATTGCTTGAACTCTCAAGCTTTCCCCCAGTAATAGGCACAGATATACTGGCAATCATATTGGCTGCACCTCTGAAATGTCTGTCTACTGACTTCACCATTTGAGGTTGAAACCATGGAAACCAAGGGAGCTAATATCTGTGGTTTGGGTGAGAGCCCCTAAATGGCCAAAAACAATAATAATTTAATTCAATCCTTTCTAAAACTCCGGCATGAGTTTTGACTCTGATGACATTTTCATCAGACATCTAAAAACAAAGCATGCTCATCCGAGGGAGATCTGAGTTAATTAAATATCAGTTTATAAATTGATTCAATCCATGTTTCTTCAAATCAAGTTGAGTTGAAGATTTTAAAAGGTTGGTTCATTCACACTACAAAATAACGTTTTCTTACTTCACACAAGCTTTCAGTTTTCTTAGGGACAATGATTTTGCTGTATCCATGGTCTGAAAAGATGTTTGTGTGGATTTTTTTAAATTAAATTTTTCTAAAGAATTCCTACTCCTCCATTCTATTGACTTTGAGACCAAAATGTCTAAAATGAATATCTCAAAATGTGTGCAAATAAAAGTAATGCTATGTGTTTGGCTGGGTACCACTCGAGGACGTGATAAAATATTTGTTTTGATTGGAAGAACTCATCCCTTGACCTCAGAAACATGAGGTCCATTAAAGAAAGTAGTGTCCCTGCCTGGGAGTTACACAATAGGTCACAGAATGTTTAGAATGCACTCCAAGCTCCATTGACAAAGAAACTCACCCTCTGTTGAGGCAGTAAAAACACAAACTTTTGTGTTTATAATCCTCATAAACACTATTCCTTACATACTACCTGACAGCTGCCTAGACCTGAAGTACAGGTTATGTACACTGCTGGTTGTGTGTTGGGCCTTGGGGACACAATGTCCATCAAAAGAAGTACGTGCTGTGTGGTGACAATGATAAAGCATTTGTGATAGGGCAATAAAAAATGGTGTCACAGATTTCTCATGTTTGATCTAGAGGCAGTTTGGTGTGATCGAAACGCACACTGTAACTTTTCTTATGTTTTGAAGATTCACTCTAGCGCAACATGACAAGTAAATCCCTCCAAAAGCTATATATGAAACGTGTCATGAGACATGAGATTAGCTCGCAAGACACATGTGTTGTGTTTTCTCTCTGCCACTGATGAGGTTGCAGATCTTTTTATCAAACCTAGATCTGGCCACAGACCGCTGCAGAGCCGAGTTTGAATCGCTGAATCATCTTGGCAGGCTTGAGAAGTAATAGCGTCTTGTTTTAAGTAGTACTTTGAGGAGGTTGTGTTAGCTTTGCTGGCTCTCGTCTCTTATCTCCTATTAAACTGGACGTACGGGGGAAAGGATTGTAGGGGAATATGAACCGATGACAAGCAAAGAAGCCTGACTTTGTTTTCTCTCCCTCCAGCACTGCTCATTGCAGACTGCTGACTGACACTGATGTGTGGGCTTGTCTGCACAAGACATTATGGCGCTAAAACTCTTGTTTAGAAAAAGTCATGAAATGGAGCAGAATAACAGCGATACTAACCTGAGCTATGTGCACTGTGGGCTGGAGATGATGTCTTCGGTGGTCTCTCACTGCAGCCAGAGAAAAATTCATAAGAGCAGGATTTTGATCACGAAAAAGCAATATTTTGAGGCACTTCGCTTCAGACACATTAGTATTAGTAAGAACAAACACATTACAACAAAGTATGATGGGAAAGACTGACAAACCAGAGAGGTTAAAATGATGTTAATGATGTTAACAAGCTTCATCAGCGTTCAACAGCATAGAGACGAACAAATTCACTCCAGACCTTTTAGCCTAACTGTCAAGCAAACATTAACACAAGGTCTCCACAGAGAAGATTGAAATGCAAAGAGTAGAAATGCAGCCAGATAAACCATACATAGTGGCCATTTAGCAAATATCAGATTCACAGTCAAACCTATTTCCTCTTCACCAGATGCTATTTAACCTGAGAGTGTGATATGGCCATTATAGATGGGATACTTTATCTTTCCCATTCTGGCTGGATAGCCAGGCTTTTCATTTGAAACTCCATTTCCCCTGATGCCTCACTCTGTCCTATACTATGATTGCTTACCTTAGAGACTCCTTGGTGCCACTAGTGTTTGGCCCCTTTAAAAGTGCATGCTGAACAAGACCAGTCAAGCTGGCAATCTGGTGCTCCATTGCCTTCATTCGCTCTCTGCAGAAACATCAGAAAATTCTACTTTGAACACTGAGGCCTATTGGATATTACAGCTGCCACTAGACCAAATATTAGCTCAGAATGAAAAGGAAGGGCTATAACAGAATAATCAATTGTTTTTAATTACCTGGCCATGAATCTTTTTGTTATTTCATGGGGTTACATAGTGGAGTTTTTTTTTGCAATTGATTTGCAATTATGTCCTGAGTAAATATTGACTCTTGTCAAATAAATGGTTTCTGAATTACAACAGTGCAACAGCACTTGACTCACAGACTTTTCACAAAAAGAAAAAGAGTCAAAATGAAACAAACAAGACGGACGACTTGAGACAAGAAAGGAACCCTAAGGTCGACACTGGGGGCGTTTAAATTATATAGTTTTTTTATATAAAAAAAAGTGTGTCACAAGTGTTGACCACTCAAAAGAGAATGATAGGACAATTGGAAAAAAACACTGGCTTAAGAAAGCCTAACGCCAAAGAGGTGAATAGGGGACCTTACACAGAGGTTGCTTGGTTAGCCTAGAGGTTGGAAATGATAACTAACTTTTGTTTTCAGATGTCATCATTTATCCTGAGGAAGGATATGGGGCCAACTGAGGACACAGGGGGGACTGTAGTTTTAGCTGTGCTATAGACAATAGACACAAGGTCTGTCGGAACACCACAATGCCTAACCTCAGTGTCATACAGCATATTTCACAGGAATAAATTCTATGACAGCTACAGAGCGCTGTTTATTTTGAAAGTTAAGTACAGTACTTTCCCATTCAAATTCCTACACTCTTTTCCCAGATTCCCAGGGCATTTCTAATGGGGGGTTTTGGGCTGCCCAGGTGGTCCAGCCTGATCTGTTTGACTGATTGGGCCATTTCAAATACTTATTCAACCTGGTCAATATTTTCTTTGGTTTTCCTACGTATGCATATAGCCTCTGTAACCTCCCTTTTAATGAAACCACGCTTGCCTGGCTAAGTGGCAAGCATCCCTCTTGCTCTCTTTCTGTGTTTATATGCTCTCAGTCAGAGTGGACAAACCTAACCCAGGTACCAAAATGTCTGCTGGATTATCCAAACTGAATAGACTCTACAGAGGGATTGTTGTTAGAACAATAGTCACAGTGTACCGGAAAAATATACAGTGATGGGTTAATGGGGTCTCAGGATACTATCCTGTTTCAGTGGTGGTAGCTATGTCTGGGGCTACACACTCTATAATAATCAACACTGTAAGCTCAAGAGTTTGAATAAAGACTGTGAAAACAATGGTCAGATAAGCAGAACTGATGCATAATGTGCATTAGTCTGCTGTTCTTAATGTGCAGATCTTGATGCTCAAGACAGTGAGAGTGGGGGTTATATTCTTGCCTTCAGTCATGGATGATGAAACAGAGTCAGAGCCAGGGATTGAAAACCAGCAGCTCATGGTTAGGATGAAACTGGGATGCAGAGTTAGTCCATGCTCCCATGCAATGTCTTAATCCTAATTTTAACAATCCCACCAGCCCAGTGCATTTAATATCTGGCCCCCTGGTGCTTACCGTGTCTGATGGTCACTGGCAGGTGGGATGGGCCCCTGGAGGTGACCCTGGAGGTCTGCAACCACAGGTGATCCCATGTTGCTCCGGGGCTTGGTCCCTGTCACTTCCTCCTTCCTGAAGGACTGGCGCACAGGTGAGCTTCTCTCCATGGGAACACCATGAGGTGGAACACCATGAGGTGGCACACCATGAGGTGGCACACCATGAGGAGGTGCGCCATGGATGTCAATCATCCGTATCTCAGCCATGCGGTGAGGGGATGGAGGAGGAGTCTTGGAGCCCAATGTAGGCAGCTGGCTGTTTCTGGACTTCTGCCTGTACAGAGAGGGGTGATCCATAGTGTCTGTGGGGCTGGGTCCACTGTAAGAGCTTGTGGAGCGGATGGAGGCACGGTGAAATCCTCCCATGCCATGTTCTGGACCATCAAGTCCAGGGTTGGGGTGTGGTCCATGGGCAGTAACCATGCTCATTCTTCCCTCTTGGAGTAAGTATGGGTCTGCATACAACCCCTCATTTCCCCTGGCTAGACTATGGCTTTTACCACCCATGTCCTCATCCGGCTTGACATCCCGTCTCTCCAGGATAGCGCTGGGACAGGGTGAGATGGAGCGGGCCGGAGGGTTGGCATTAGACAGTCGGTCCCTTGGGATAGTGGCGCTGCCAGGTATAGAGCCCTGCCGTGGGCCAAATGGGATTCTGGAGGGTGATGGGGGCATGGAGTGGGGAGCTGGGGGTAGTACTCCCTGCATGGGGTGGTGTGGTGGGGGACCCATGGGGGGCTGTCTCAGAGGGTGTGGGCCATCACGACCGCCATGCACCATCTCGCTGTGCATCTGGAAAAGAACAAAGGTATAGAAATGTTAATTTACACAAACAAACATAAAACCTGAGATTGTTATTACTTAAAATAATGCATTAAAGGTCAAGAGAATAAAATCGCAATTTAAGGATTTGGTCAATAAACCAGACTGCAAACTGCTGCCCACTAGACAGCTGCAGCTACTGTTTATTTTGTATATATTCTGTATTACTGGACTCAAGTTGCCCTTGAAACAAAAACATCCGTGTAACTCCGTTTACATTGTTGTTTTTCAAAATAAATACACTGTCAGCAATTTTTCCAGAAGCAGAAAATAGTTACTTGCAAGGTTTTTTTCAACTTCAAATGAACTGAAATCAACTTTATACAGATACCAGGTTTGCTGTGTAACTGATATTAGAGTTTGCTATCTTGCTATCTTGTCTTGTCGTGCTATTGTACTCTATTACTGTGCTTCATTTACCATTCATAACTTGTGGCCACAGTGGCGGTTGTCTTGAAATTACTGATATATCACAGGCATAGACTAGTTTTGGTTCAAACTTCATGGATGGATTTATAAAGGCAACAATGGAAACTTTACCAGCTTTCAACCTACAAGCCTGACTAAAATATAGTGTGTTTATTTATTCCAACATTGAGTTCCTTTCCCATAGAAATAAACATTCCCCTGTATTAACAAGCCCTAGTGAAATATAGTGTGTAAATAGAGATGTAACCTGTGGATATGTGATGAACTGGGTATGATAACATGGTGCTGGGGAGTGTCGCATGCAGGGCCAAATCAAATCCATCTTTGTCTAACTCTCTATTGCTGTCAAACAAACAAGTTATTGTTCCTTCAAGGTATGACTCATGGGTTACACCTACATAAGAAGACAAGTCAAAACCTAATGCAAAATTCTTTCAAAAACTTCAGGTACAGTTTTTGACACTGTGCTTTTTCAATATGGTCTTTATTTTTTCCCAGTGCAAATACAGATTACAGTGAAGAGTGCAATGAAGGGGGTGTGACAAGTGTCTGTGTGTGTGTGTGTGTGTGTGTACGAACTGGAAAACAACAACTGCTCAAAGTGTAAAGTAACAAAGGGCTCAGGCTTGGCTGTGACAACAAAGGGGAAAAAAGAAACTTGTTGGCAGTGAAAACACACAGCCCATAAATATGGCAGCAACAAGTCTGACCAAACAAAAAAAACATATAATAGGAACTCTGAGAAGCACAGTGACACTGCAGACCATAATCAAACCCTAATGACTTTCACTATCCAAGGTGCCTAAACACATAACAAGAAAAGTTACCCTCTTGTGCAGGAATTTATCTGAAGCGCCAAATAACATCTCTCACTGCTTTGCCAATTCCAGCACAGCCTTATGAGAACAATTTGGGCCAAAAGGCATCACTTGACAATCCCAAACAGATGTTAGACCTTTGAAAGACTAACCATTCTTAAAATATCTTTAAAATCCACTGACTTTACGAAGACAGTCTGTATTTGTCTGTACAACATGCTGATAAATTACTGCTTTGAGACAAAACAGAGGAGTAAAGGCTTGAAAAATAAACACTTTGAGTGACCATGTCAGGCAAACGAGAAGCCGTGTTGAGGAACATTTGGTTTGAGTTTGACTCGTGGACTCTGTCTCTGTCTCCACCGTGCTCTTAAGCTTCCAATAATGAGGGCAGTGTGTCTGGTAGGAGCGCACAAAGTCGTCTCGAACTCCTGCCATGTTGGAAATTGAGAGGATTCCTCAAGTGATTCACAAACTGCAGAGCCTCAGAAGCAGCCAAGCTAAACCGATAAAGAGGAGCTGTGCTGCAGTGTTCGTGCAGAAGTGTGTCAACATTTAAACAGCTGGCTCTATGGCTGGATGTACGATGCTGCTGTCTACATAATGGGGATGGAAGATGGAAGCTTGGTGCTTATTATGATAATTGTGAGTAAAAACGAGACAAACTTCACTTTGTCATTTTTGAATAAATACTAAGATTCCCATGAGGAGAACCAGTAAGCAAACCTCTGTTTACAAAATATCTCCTCAAGCTATGTGTACATAACATCACTTCTGACAGCCACTATTGACTATTCTATGAATACAAAGCACCGCTTTGTGCACAACCACGTACACAAGTACAGATTAATATTTCAAAATATTTGAGCTTTTTCAACAGATGAAACATGACAAAAGAGATCAAATGCAAGAAAATACTTCTTTATTCTGGCAGTCTGCTGCATATTCTGCTCATCAAGTTACTTATCAGTTACTTTGTACATCTGTCAACCTTAAATCAATTAGTGACAGACAGGGTGAGAGTTGTTTTCATAACTAGAGACAGCTGTATTTGGCCTGAAAGTCTTGATCAATAACAGAGGCAACTGCAGATGATACCTTAAAGTGGATCAGAGGCCTGGCATTCGTGCTTGGAAGAGGACACTCAATAGCCCAAACAGATGTGAAGTGTTTGAACAGGTGTACAGCTCATTAGGTTGTTGTATTTGCCCTTTTGCTTTGAGTGGCAGGGATCCTATTTCATTATTAAAAGAGGTTTCCAAGAAAAAAAGTACAAGAAAGACTTTTTGTCTCTCTTGGGCAAACAAAAAAAAACAAAAAATATTTTCAGTTTGAGCTTCACAGCAGCCAAGAATAAAAACGGGAGTCTATGATGTTGATGTTTGAGTGTGCGTCTGAGTCTTAAAACCTTGTGGGGAGAGGGGAGCTTGCCATAATACTGTGATAAAAATGCAAATTTTTGGATTAATACAACTAATTTCATCCAACTAATTTCTATTAAAAAAGGCCATTTCGTGTGCCATTCACCAACCCGGCCTCCACGGGGCACTCCCAAGTTCAAGCTTTGAATCTGTGTCAATTGCAGCTTAGTTAAACAGTTACAGAAATATTCATGACAACAATCTTCTTCAGCATATCTCAAGTTCATTTCACAATGTTTGCACAAGAGCCCTTGCAAAGTTGCCTTGCTCTTTACTTAATCCATTTCACTTCATCCAGTACAAGTTATATTTTTCAAGCTTGCTGATTCAGCAAGTACCAAAATTGTTAAATAGGCAAGCAACTCTGTAAAAAAAAAATACAATAATAAAAAAGGATCAGAAGAACTGCCCCACACAATTCTTCTACTGTGGCCAGTTTGCAACCTTTTCTGCTCCTAAACTGTTTGGACTGTAAATTCCCATTTCACTTTTTCAGTTGTATCTTTTTTTGCCATCTTTCTCCTCAAATGTGTTTTGTTCACTTCCCCTTGAAGGACCCTGTCACAGAAAGCCAGCCGGAGCCACTTCGCCTGTCAGCAGCAGAGAATAAAAAGAGTCTCTGCAGCACCTCAAAGCCGTCATACCATCTGAACCAAGACCTCTTAAACCATCATCATGTTTGCCTCATCATTCCTTTAAACTTTATCAATTTTACTTCACACTTATGTGACATATACAGTATGTGGCAATGGAATTATAGCTGAGGTTAATGTAATTTTTGCAGTATCACAATGATGCTGCAATGCCGCCTGAAAATCTATGGCAGGCAGAGAGGAGCAGTGGGTTTGATAAAGGGTCAGGCGGATTAGAGCAGTGGATTTAAGGTGGAACATTTGAGGAAACGACTCTTTACGGCTTTAGTTTCGTTACATCAGCAGGAAACAAACATGCTGGCAATAAGAACAAGAGAAGGAGATTAGGGCTGATATTGGGGGAAGAATGAACAAGGAAAATAGTCCTGAGATTTGAGTTCAGCTGTCCCTTAAGCAAGCTGCACCAGAGCGTACAGGGGAGGCCTAATCGCAGGCCCCTGGGAGAACAATATGAGACCCCCTCTAAACAGATTAAGAAGAGGCAGGGGGACATTCCTTCCCTTGACTGCAAACAGGATGTTAGAATGAGAAGAATGGGAGGCCGGGCTATTCTATCTGCAACAGGTCTCCTTACAACTGCTGCTGTTAACGAGACAATAATTTTCACTGCTGTATTAGCATGTGTTAGTTGAGTACTCACCCTGGCATCACCATTGGCAGGTCTTGGCCCATGGCTGAACGCCTGTGCTGGGTCTTTGTGGTAGACCTTCAGGCAGGAATGATCTGTGATGTTCCTGTAGGGGGAAGAGGTATTCCGTGGTAAATAGGTAGCCCAAATATCACCATCTGACAGCGGCCGATCCTGCCTGAGCCTGGATCTCCTTAGCAGCTCTGCCAAGGGCACATACCCTGACAGAGGCTCTGACAGCTCTCTGTTATATGACATTTCCTCTAATTCTCTAAAGTCTATAAAAACATCTACTAATACTGTGTTGAAACGTGGCTCGGCTTCGTAAGTGTAGAGCGCCTCCGCTCTTTCTATTGCTGGTCTCACTATGGTGTTGCACCCTATACTCTCTCCCTTAAGGAATCACGGGACATTTTTTTTTACAGCCGTGATAAAGTATTAGTCACAAAGTACACATTGCACCTGAGCAGGAACTCTGGAGACAATGGGGGCAAAGTTGCTTATGTCAAGAGTAATGTTTTTTTTCTGAAAAATGACTGGAACAAATAGCTGTATACTGTCTCGGCACATAGAATCTGCTGTATTATTGATAAGACATGCTGGTGAATACCAAAACAGGAACGTACAAGAAAAAAGAAAAAGCAGTGAGCTAGTATGTGTGTTTATGTGCTTGTAAATGACACACACACACACAACTCAGTACACAATACATTGTAAACTACACTCTGAAAAGAATAAAAGGACCTCAAAGAGTGAAAAAAGACAAAGCTCACATTGCTCAAACTTTCTAAAGTCAAAGTTTCACCAGAGGTAAGAAGACAACAGGCAGGAAAGTTTGTTGTTGTATATTGGAGCCATTCTGCCACAGGGCATCATCTCCAATAACTCTCTTTCTATTAAGTTTCAACATGAAGGTAAAAGGAAGCGAGACATTTTCCTGGCCAGTGACACTTCCTGTGCAGTGGGTGTTTGGAAAGGAAGTTCTCAGGGAGGGGAATAGGAGAGGCCATTCAGAGGAAGACTGAAACTATGGAGCATTAGGAACCTTGGATGCCCTGTTAACACAATATATACTGTCCACCTTATGTTTATCACAAAAACCTTTACCTGACATCGGTAAGCTCGTAGTACATATTCCTCATGTCGTCTTTGACGTAAACGGCGACGCTGGGCGATTCCAACATCTTCATGGTGAGCTGCTGCGGGAAGGCACTAACAAACAGAGCTCTGACAGTGTCGATGCTAGTGATCTCATTAGGCATGCGGATCTGTTTGGTCTCGTCCCCGTACTGCAGGTACAGTACACCTGCAGACAGAAAGCAGAAGAGCTGGGTGATTAGTAAACTCTTTTCAGTTCATCCAATTCATTAAGATATTTCCTATGGCTAAGACAGGCATGTCATTTCTCCATCTTGCATGAATAGCAATACACTGTTTTGTTTCTCTCCCAGATTGTAGTCTCAATGAAAGAACCACCGGAGGGCTTTTAGTCTTAAGCTGCTACACAAAGTATTGACATAGCAACCGAAGATAATGACTCATTTCTTGGAATATGCTTAATAAAAGTTGGGCAAAATCTGGATTTGGACCTTCTGCAGCAGTTAATGTAACAGAACAGAAAACAATGCCACAACAGAACTGGTCAAACATAAAGGCATGTTTATTGCAGTTTGGGTAAACCTCCAACAACCTCCAACACATGAGCTAAATAACAATCAACCTTTCCTGTGGCATTCCTGACCTGTAAAAACCTGGCTGCATCACAATGTCTGGTCATGGCTGCTCTTGGACCGGTGCAGATACTTGGCCAGATTTCAATTAGCAAAATATTAATTTTCTCTGGTGTACCATTTATACCATCAAACAGAGACAAAAACACATTTTTCCTCTGCAGTTTCTGAATAATGGGAAATTGAATGTCCTTTTAAATCGTTCTTACTTTTGAATTGGGCTTTAGAATGAATGGTTAAACTCAATTGTTGCTCAAAGGACATCAAAAAAACTTTTCTGTGGTGTATGTTTTCATGATAGATTTTCAGTAGCTTTTACACTGTGGTATTGTACTAAACCTGCCTCTTGACTCCTGTTCATGTTACACATGTCTGAGAACAGCACGCTATATATTCCGGACAAATTACTGGATATTTAGAAAGTGAGTTGGGGCGGGGATAAGGGACAAAAGAAGAAGCAGCGTGCTTGGGGTGGAACAGCATAAGTTGTGCATCAAAAAGACTAAAGCCTGAACCTCTGAACCCTGGGTGTGGCTTCTGTACTGTGCTTTAGAAAAACAGATGTCTCCCCCACAACATTTATGAACACGCCCACACTGCACTTATGTATAAACAAGGTCAGAGAAGAAAAAATCTATTTCTACTCTCTGATTCATTGCTACAAACAGTTATATGTTTGGGGTTATCTGTAGCAACAATAGAGCTTTAATGAAAATAACAAAGGAGTTAAATAAGTTTGTCATCATCTTCTAATTATGTTGTGTCATATTTCTGGCTGATTCATTAGAATTTCATGAACTGCTGAAACAGAAACTTGTTGTGATACATATAAATCAGTCATTGCCATGCTACTTTTACATTTGTGCGCTGAAAATAGCTGATTTTAAGGAAAGAAGCTATGGTTTTACTCGGTGTAACCCCATAAAAGGGCATAGCCAGTAAAAGCTACCAGATGTTAGTGAAATATTATACAAGATCCTACATGCTCCACGAGACAGAGTGAGACAGAGAGAGGGCAAATCCAGGAAATAAAACTGCTGAGTCTATCACTGCTCTTTCTGGTCTGTCTGGGTTTTTAGGTAGTAATAACTTAACAAAGTGCCCATTTGCAGAATAACTCCTTCTTTCCCCCCCGAGAGCTGTTATGTTAACAGTCGGCTAGTTTTCATCCAGATGTTAGCAATTAAAGCGAATGAGTTTGATGACAAAGCGCCACTGATTGAGTGTGCATTATGAAGTTTTGAATTTTTTAACATCAGATTTATTTGCAACAAAGTTGAAGAGCTCGGTTCGAACAAAGAGTTATGTTACATTCCTGAGCGCCGGGTTTCACTCAGGATTGGAAGCAAATGGCAAATGGGTTTCCTGACCAAATGGGCACAGCACTGCAGACTGTCTGAGCTTTCAAAGTTGTCCACATTTCTCCAGTGAGACCAGTTTAAACTAAGCGTAATTGTGAAAAAATCGAATTCTGCGTCTGTTAACATTATCACAAGTATGTATAAGTATGAAATGCAACAAAAAAGCAGATAAATACTAGATTACAACCACAGAATAAATGACTTGAAATACAATACACTTGATCCCACACTCTAGATTAAATCTGATACTCACAATAGGGGTTTTAAGGATTTCCTGTTTTCTGCTGAGTCTTGTAATGCTCTGGAAAAGACCACGCAACGACTCCTACAGTACTTGAAGAAACTAAGCCCCAAGAAGAAGCCCCAAATGTCCGTTGGGACCCAGAGAGGTGTGTGCCTGTGTGTTTGTGTGTGTGCATGTGTGTGTGTGTGTGTGAGAGGCTGTGGGAGGGACACAGTAGTTAAGTGGTGCCCCTTTTTCTCTCCTCCCCTTTCATCACACCATAACCCCCCCACTGTCATAATGCTTTGTCCTGATGTTTTTGAATGAGAGAAAGAGAGCAATAGAGCGTGTGTGTGTTTGAGTGTGTGTGTTTTGTGTGTATGTGCATGCATGTGTGGTAAAGCATGTTTATTAAAAGTGTTTTTGTACAAATTTTACATTTCTCAAGCAAAGCAAGAGGCGTTACTGGCACCAAAAAGTGTAAAAAAATGGCACCCTATAGTTTCATTAATTTTCACTTCGGTGAAAAGCCGTGCCACTCAGATGCTTTACTATTATCCAGCAGCAGATGCCATGCTAAGTTGTGAACTACCTTTGAAGACTATCCTCCTAAAAAAAACCTCTACACTTTGTTTTGGGAGTTCTTAACTCTTTCCAACACTCTCACCTAATGCAACAACCTAATTCTGCACAACATGCAGCGTTTCTGCATATAGATGCAAATGAAGCACCAAGTGTGTTGATAAGACAACCCATTTCTAATCCTGTCAATAACACGATGGCATATTGTGGATGGATTCCCTAATCTTTCACTACAGAGGAAATGAATTCTAATTAAAACGGAGCTGTGAGCTGAGGTGGAAAGAGGGAGGAGAGGAGAAGATAGATGGAGTGAGAGAAAGAGACTTGGACAAGGTGAAATGGTGAGATCATTGTGTAGTCTTGAGTTATTTCAGAGAGTTCTAAAGTTATGCCAAGATTATGCTAAAGGGGCTGCACAATGTAGGTTATCAAAGAGGATTAATGTCAATTTACTTTCACCTCATTCTATTCACAAAGCTAAGGTCTAAGAAAGAGCCTTTATTCTCAAGATGTTCTTAACCCTTTATCGGGCGAGG